AAAATGGCACATCGGATTGTGGTGACAAAACACTTTCCACTGTATTTTCCTAGGTTTATGTGACAATAAAATCATTGATTCATGACAATATCAAGAAATGAGAACAGATAGAAGAAAGTTAAAGCACCTTGGATATAACCACAAAGTACAGTTGGAGATTTTGAACAGGGAATTGTGGGAGATATCTATGTAATGCTGGACGGCAGCAACATATTCTACTATCGTAGAGAGGAAAGCGGGCTTGGAGATGGTGGAATAATTGGGGAGGTGCCTGGGGGTTTGTGATTAAAAGTTTTATAAAGGGGAATGAAGACAGTGATTCCAAACATGGTGTCAGGAGGGACCAACTTCGTATGTCAGAAAATGTTGGGTAAGGAAAATACTAAAGTATTTCAAAATTAGATAAGGTCTGGCAGATGATCAAGGATGTAGGAGTTACATGGCATAGAGAGATCTGACGAGGGGTGGCAACAGGGATAAAAGCCACAGGATGTGCCTGAATGAAGACCTGGAGACAAGATGGAGGATGCAGTTTAACTTAATCTCAGTTCTACAGACAAGGGTAAGCATGAGCTTACCAACTCCCTTGATTAATGTAAAAGTATTCAACAGAAACATCAGTCAATGCATTGGAGTACAAGCTGGTCAGCATCCAACTAATGTATAGAGTTCAAAGTCTGTCAGTATTAAAAGTTTCTTTGAGAAATTATGAAGACAAAGTTGTAATGGCAAGATGTCACATTAATCCAAAGACCTAAATGTCACTTGGATTGAGACCAAACAGATGATATTTAGCATGTTAATTCCATTAAGGCCAAAAACTATAGCATTGACTCAGAACGATGGTTTAATAAAAGGCATCATGCAGCATTTGCCAATATTTTGACCAACGTCCTTCAACCTACACAAGGTGTGGTTAAACGTCAAGGACTACAGAATGTAGGGAGAGTGTTGCATGGATGCCTGTAAACTAAAGCTGATAGGAAGAGAGAAAATTAGGGGTGGTCATTGATTGTTCAGTGTTGGACTATTTTAGTCAAAGCAAATGGAGTCTTTGGTTGTAATATCTATCTGGACGGTTCAGTCTAAAGATGGGGGCAAAATAATAGTTCAGTAAAGGTTTCAGTGAAACTATTAGCCCGTTATGTTCCCTTTTTTAACTTATCTCAAGCACGATATTCTGGCTCCTGAGAAGGGAGACAGAAAGGACCAGATGGTGAGGATTAGTCTAGTGAGTTGAGGATCTATGGGCCCGATAGTTTATTTTTAACACCTTGAGTCCATAATGTAATGCAGAAACACCTTTACAAATTTGACAGGCAATCCAAGATCAGGCAACTAAACCACTAGGAAATGAATCTCCACTCCATGTCCCAATAAGAGAACAGAATTCTATGCATTTTCAGTAAATCGTTACTTTAATCAACCTGCTCAGACATGCTATGATACACCACCAGGGAGGTGGGTCTTAAACATGGACCTTCCCATCCAGAGGTACAGCCGCTAATGCTGCACCAGAAGATCCTTCTTCTCAATAAATAAAGGTGGAGTAACTGAACATTGTTGTCCAAGACCAAGAGGTCAGTAATTAATGTGCATCAATCTAATTAGTTAAACAAAATTATCAGGCATACCATAAGTTACACGTCGCCATCAGAGATATGAACTAAAGTACTGGCCTGAATTATATGCAAGATACGCAAGATTCAAGATGTTTAACCATGATACAATACTATGGATACTGAAAATCTGAAAAGAAAGTGCTGGAAATATTCATATGTTGTCAGCGCAGCTAAGGAAAGGGAGATACAGCTAATGTTTTAGATCAATGCATGACTTTTATATGTTTCCTCTCTGTACATGCTGTCTGACTTGCTGAGTATTCATAACATTTCCTGTGCTGCTTCTTTGGCCTCAGATATCTATTCTTTCTTCAAATGCTGCCCACACCTAGGAGGCAGCAGCAAATACAACAGGGTAGATTTTCCACTGACCAAGACAGTCTTTATGCAGGCATGGATTGGTGCTACTCGTGGGGACCCCATGGAATTTTCATCATAGCACAACCCAAAGGAATTGCCCAGGAAATTGAACTTTCCACTGCATTTCTATGAAAGTCTCCATGAAAGTTACAGATTTTGGTGGTTCCGATGACATTTAGTAAAATAGTTATGCAGGAAAAGTTAGGGTACTGAATACAAAGTCTAACTTCTGAGTAACAATCAAACTGTACTCACACTTACCTCACTCTCAGCCTCTAGACTCCTTATACCTCCAGAACCTGACCTGATCTCTGCCATCTTTCACACCCCGCACTCAGCTAACACCCTTGCCTTGATGACAACCCCACCATGCCACCCCCAAGACGCGACCCAACTCCTGAAAACACCACCCACAGTACCTGACCCCGAAACTCCCGACCCCACAACCTGACTTTGAACACCCATCTCCACACCTGGCACCCTACCCAATTGGCACCCAACTTAGTTGGCATCCTACAGCCTACCCATTTGGCACCCTACTTATCTTGCAATGTAATCCCCCTACCCATCAGGCACCCAAACCCCAAGCACTAATATCAGACTTACCTCACGTACATATCCTTTGACAGCAGATATCAAAATGGCTGTCAGGACCTTTAAATTTAATACAACAAGGAGGTATGGTTTATATTCCCCCAACAGTTCTGTGCTATGAAAGAAATCTGGCCCAATGTATGTACATGAGTTTTCCTATTGTTAAGGATACAGAAATTCATGGAAACCATGCCAAATAAGTGACAGTCACAACATCGAAAGTACGACATATTTCAGCACCAATTTGGTTTCAGGTCTTTTATCTTAGTGACCCCTGATAGTGGGCAATAATGTGTTTCTGGTGTATAATGGGCTAGTTTACGTATATGAACCTGAGCAACAGATGCTGGAAGTCAAATACAATGTAGCTGGCTCCAATCTGGTTATAATCAAAATTTTTTTTCCTCTCAGTATGTTGTGGCACAATTCCCCAAAGTCAGCACATGATTGAAGAATTGATAACTTCTACTACACCCTTTCCCTCCATGACTGCACTTTGAAATTCCTACTGAAGGGGGAACTATTGGTGATAGGTGCAGGGGTCATGGATGTCTACAGCACAGAAAAATGCCCTTCAGTCTATTAAGTTTAAACTGGTCAAAAACAACCACCCAACTATTCTAATACCATTGCCCAGCCCTTGGCCCATAGTTTTGTATGCCTTGGCATCGCAAGTGCATCAAAATATTTCACTGTTATCAGGGTTTTTGCCTCCATGCTTATGGGCCTAATTAATGTTTCATACAGTTCCAGTATAACCTCTTTCTATTAAACTCTATGCCTTGGCTAATAAAGCCAAGTATTCCATATGCTTTTTAACCACTTTATTTACCGGCCCCGTTACGTCCCTTGCCTTGCTTGTCCTGCCCAAGTGCATCACCTCACACTTATTTAGATTAAATTCCATTTGCCACTGACCAGCCTATCTGTATCGTCCTAAGGCTATCCTCTTCACTATATACCACCCCACCAAGTTTCACATTATCTGCGAACGAGTGATCAACCCTCTTACATTCAAGTCAAAATCACTTACGTGTAACTGCAAACAACAAAGACCCCAACTCTGATTCTTTTGGAACCCCAGTGGACACAGACTTCCAGTCACAAAAGTAACCATCACCCTCTGCTCCTGCCACTCAGCCAATTCTATATTCAATTTGCCAGATTTCCTTGAATTACATGAGCGCTTATCTTGCTATCATTCTCCTATGTGGGACCTTATCAAAGCCTTGCTGAAATCCAAGTAGACTACATCAAATGCATTGCCCTCATCTACACACCTGACTACCTCTGAAAAATTCACTCAAGTTGATCAGACTTGAACTCCCCTTGCTAAAACTGACTTCTTATTCAATTCCTCACTCCCCAAATGCAGATTAATTTGGTCCTTCAGAACTACATCCAATAATTTTCCCAAAACTGAGGTTAGACTGGCTGACCTACGGAGTCATAGTCAAAGAGATATACAGCACTGAAACTATAGTTTCCTGGTTTGTCTCCTACTCCCTTCTTGAATAATGGAACCACACTGGCCGTCCTCCGGTCTTCTGGCTTCTCTCCTGTGGCCAGGGAGGAATTGAAAATTATTGCCATCACCCCTATGTTCTCTCTTGCCTCACTCATCAGCCTGGTATACATTTCATCCTGCCCTGGAAATTCACAGCTTCCGCCGCTCCCATCTACATCTACTCAGAGGTGGTTGCCCTGGCAGGAATGGGGGAGGGAAATTAAGTTCAAGGTATGAGTTAAAACAAAAATCTATGCCCAAGTTTCTTGCCATTTCCAATTTGTTTTTACTAAATTTCAAATGGAAAATTTCAGCCCATAGTGCCCTATCCAACATAGCCTCTAATCATTTTCTTGCAGCTCTCTGGCATCTTGTTTAAAGCGCATGTATATGCCTTAAATATTTTGCACAGCCATGCAAATACAGTAAGTGAAAAGGACAACCATGTGCACAGCCTATACAGGGACCCTTGACTGCTGTAAGACCACACAGCAATGCAGCACAGAGGGAACATTGGTCTGAACCTATAAGACTTTCAATGAAATGCAGAAGGATTGCAGCTCGAGTAGAGCCATAGCATGTTTTGAACTGGTTAACTGTAGATGTTTTTTCAAACACAAGAGCACAGAGCAAGAGCACAAAGAAATGGACAAATTGGAATACAAAGTTGAGGATATGCTGCATATTAAATAAAAGAGATTTGCGCTCCCTGAGGTATTGTAACTCACATTTCTTGTCGCAACTTGTTTTTTGGTAAAAAAGTTCTGTCACATTGAAAATCCTGCAGGAAAGCCACACGTTATCAGTCCATAGAGTAGCTCAGTAGAGCCTTAATAGAGTCTACAATCAAACAATCACTTGACAAGTCAGTAAAATGTTATAAATTTTAAAAAACAGAAAATAAATAAATCACTTACATGGAGTTCTGGTGACTTCACACTAAGTTCTCCAAAAGCATCTCCAAGTTGTCGTTGTGTCTGTACTACTTGGTAGAACTGTGTTGCCATTTGTCGAGCTAGTCGTAGGAGATTTTCATACTTTTTCTTGGTCTCCCTCAGTATTTCTATCTGTGATTCCAGTTCCAAATCCACAGTCTTTGAGCCACGACCTAACTTTTCAGAAAGGACCTGTCGTGTACACTGCAACAAAAATTACAAAGCAACTTATTATAGGAAAAGATATTTGCAAAAAGACAAATGTGCTTATTTTAGAACATAATATTGACTTAATATTACCTTATACTAAGCTATTGTTTACTTACATTGTAGGTTTAATGCCCACTAGTTATTAGCTCTTCAATAAATTTATCTAAAACAGGAGATAATTTATTACTCATAACATAGTACATTACAACAAAATTCCTTTGGATAAAAAGCCATTCTCCAGCACCACAGCATACAGATAAAGGTTTTCAATTCCCATGCACTGATTACTCAGCGTACAGAATGGAAGTATCTAGGCTAACTCCTGCCGTGTAACTTCAGTACAAGTCCTCTTTTGGAAGAACACTGAGGGGGTAGTCAAGGTGTCTAAAACAAATGATAGGAAGATTGAACTCCTCCAAGAGGCAGAAAAATGACCTGGAGGAAGAACATCAAAGCTGTCTCTTCAGCTCCCAATCTCTATACTGAAAGCAAGGAACACAAAAATAATTTGGAGAGGGGAAAGCAGACTAGTCAGTGAACTGCACGTTTTTGCTCCATGGTTGCATTCAGCTGTGAAATCTGTCAAAGTCAATAAGGAGAAATGTACCACTGGCACTGAACTCAAACATAAAGAGAAACTGTTCAAAATACTCAGATCTGACAGCATTCGTGGTGACAAACAGAGTTAACATTTCAAATCTGAAAAGAGTTGAAAAATAGACATAATAAGCTTTAAGCAAGCAGAAATAAAGGAAAGGCAGGGAGTAGAGAACATGAGGGAAGAACTACAATGAAGATAATGTGCCGAGAGTGCGAAGCAGGAGAAATTCAATAATGGAAGAGTGATGATGTGAGGCATCAAAAGGGAAGATAAACACAGTGTGACTTCATTAGCACTGTGAATGTCGGGACTGTATACTAAAGAGTCATACCAGACTCAAATCATTTACTCTTATTTCTCTACCAAACCTGCTGATTTCTTCAGCGTTCTTTCTTTGTTTCAGATTTTCAGCCTCTGCAGCATTTTGCTTTTATCACTACTTATCACTCATTATCACTACTTGCTATCCATAAAAAATACAGATGATGATGATAATCTCACATTACTAAAACGGATTTTGAGCCCAGAAGGCTGTGAAATGCCCAAAAGATAAAGTACTGTCCCTACAGCTTCTGCTGAATTTCATTAGAACAATGGAGGCTGTGGTCAGATTAATGAAGAGGATATTTTATTTGGCAAATGACAGCAGCTCAGGGTTGTACCGAACAGAGGTGGTCAGAAAGTGATTACCAACCCTCTGTTTGATTTTGCTGGGATAGTGGAGACTGCATTGTGGGAAGCAAATTGAGGATACAAATTGAAAGCAGGACAAGTAAATCCTCATGATCGGAAGTTAAACTGAGGTTCCACCTGTCCTCTCAGGTCGTTGTAAAAGATTCCACTGTGTAATTCTGAAGAGGAGAAGTGGAGCTACAGTTGTATCTAAAAAGAGACTATGTTTGTGGAAGTAAGCTGTATGTATTTAAAGCAATGTTTTCTACATTAAGACAATGACTACACTTCCAAATTACTTCATTAGCTATGGGATGTCCTGTAAGCATCAAAAAGTGCTATATCAATGCAAGCCTTTGTTTTTTTTAAAAATACTAGTTACACTTGGAAATTGTGTTAAGGTACCTGGCCAGTCAGAAGGGAGGATGTGAAAGGGGAGATATTGCATCCGGTGATCTTGTATGAAGATGCTCAAGGATGGGCAATGAGTGACAAAAGACTGGGCCATTTGACATGTCCCTTAAGAATGCTGAAAAGGGAGGGGAATGTGCGTTAATAGCAGTCATCATTCGGGGGGGGGGGGAGGAGGGAGTTGAAATGGCAATGCATGAGCACCCCAACGTCAGCTGCCCTCATTGCCTACGTCAACTGGTGCTGATAATGATTTTGCTCTTATCATCTACCACCTTTCAGCATTCCACGAGCCTGTCTTCTGTTTATTTACTTATTACATGGTGATCCTTCCATCTTGCACCATTGTCTTTCTTATTGTTTATATCACTCCTGTTTCCAACCCCATCAAAGACCTGCCCTTTTGATACTGCCTTTCAATCTACACCCACCTATCCCCAGTTCATTCTCACTGCTTCAGTACTTCCTTAAAATATGCCTAATCTATAAATTTTCTAGTTTTAGAAAAGGTCACAGATTGCAGACATTCACATGTCTTTCTCCAGACATGGTGCCTGACCTACTGAGTGTTTTCCGCAATTTCTATTTGTCTGTGAAAGTCTATACAGGCAAGATCCATATTCAGAAATTAAAGCATTACAAAAGGGCAAATTTCATCTATGCAGAATGAAGGCTTAGAATTAAGGCTTCACATTTAAATTTCATACATCATAAACTCTGCCTGTTCACTAATTATACAGCACACAAGAGTAATGGACAGAGATGGTGAATGATCAGAGCTTAAGATCACTTGAAAAATGAATACTACCTGGAAAAGACTTGAACAACCGAAATAGTCCTACTGCCTCTCAAAAGCATAGCACATGAGCACAATGCGGCTACCCAAAGAATCCCAATGGTCGAAGAACTGAATACAAAAAACAGTTCGAAGCTCACACATCTTACTGGCTGCAATGATTACTGACACCCAGAATGAGGCAGAGGGAGCAGGCAGAAAATAGCTAAATTTAATAAAAAGGAATGGAGGGGAAGGTAATTCCCTTTTTTAAAAAGTAACATACCCATCCTTCATTTTTATAGACTAATTGCCTTGTGCATTTCAAAGATAACCAGCATTGCCGAGCATTAGAATTTTTCCATAGTATTATTAGGAACAACATACTGCCACTTAGTGTTGCACCTAAATGTGGTGCTGTGCATGACTCCTGAAAATTTACAGCAAGAGCAAGAATCCCATCTTGATCACCTCCACAATCTGTCACTATTAAGAATGTGACTAAAATACAGGATCTGCAACTGTGCTCATGGTTTCAACCCACTCAACCTCATCAGTTTTGCCTTAGTGACACGCTGGGTCCTTCGTGCCTGGAATACTGTGACTCATCAAGTTGGTTTCTTAGTTTAGTGCTGTATTTTTCAAACTTTCCTGTATAGTTATAAAACCTACCTTGTTGGTGGATATATTTTGCTGATTTGAGTTAATTTCTGTAAACATTCTGTTCAGTTGCCACTGATTAAAGCATTAGTTAAGGCAGCAGACAGGTGTGAACACAAATCTCAATCATGACATTAATTATAGCCGATCTTTGAAGCAGGAATGATAAGGATCTTGCCAAGTCAGTTAGCATATCTTGCAAAATGTTAAATCCTACCTGTTCAAGTTTCATCAATGTACAGTTGTGACACTCATTTATAAAACTTAGGATCAGATTCCCATTCTCCCTTACACTTACATTCATACAAAATTTCAGTTCAATGTTCAATATAATGCAAAACAGAAGAAAAACATTTATGTGCTTTTTAGTGTTCAATAACCAGAAAATGCTGCTATCAGGGTTGTTATCCAAAGGTAATTGTTACTCAGGCTATTAATTTTGTCAAACTGATTTCTCAGTCTTAAACTAGTGCCATTGTATGGGCTTCAACAGACAGGGCGGAGCTCTCTTGTTTATACTCATTAACAATAAATGCAATTTTTAGATCCAGCAGCACATCTACAAAACACGCATGATCTTTATTTTGACAAATCTAAGTATCAATTCCAAGATTCAGGTGATCACCAATACTGAAAACAGATCAAGAAAATCAGAAGCAGTGATTTGTGATTTAAAGGCTGAAATTTAAAACCAAAGGGAAATATTGCACATGTTGGAAACTTGAAATAATAACCGAAAATACTGGGGGAAAAAATAGGTCTGGCAGAATCTGAGGAAGGAGAAACAAAGTTAACATTTCTAGTTCATTAATTTCATCAGAGTATTTCTAGCATTTCCTGTTTCAATATTAGATTTTAAAACCTGGAGGCAATGGAAAAAGACAAGGGAAGTATCAACAATTATTCATTCCCATCTGGCACAAAAATAAAACAGGAAAGGTGGTTCAATTATGGTTTATAAAATAAATTTGGTATTGTATGAGATCCAAAGCAGAGACATTAAAATTGTCAGAAAAAGCAGTGAGCCTGAAGACTGGGAGCATTTTGGAAATCACCAAAAGAGGACAAAGAGTTTGATCAAGAGGCGTAAAATAGTACAAGAACAGAATTACAAGGAACATAAAATTATCCATAAAATTTTCTATAAACATGCGGAGAAAAAGATCGGTAAAGACAAATGCAAGTCTCTTATAGTCAGAAACTGGCCAAATTATAATGAGGTGGAAAGCCATGGCAGAAAAATTGAACATAGTTTGGTTCAGTCTTCACCAAAGTGGGCACAAATAACCTCCCAGAAATGTTATGGAACCAAGGGTCTAGTGAGAGGGTGGAATCAAAGGAAATCACCAAAGCTTTAATACTCTGGAATATAGATTATCAAGGAAGTAGCTCTGGAAATTCTAGAGACTAGAGAATTTTCTACAGATTGGGGTGGGAGGGGGTTGTGATCTCTTTGAGAAAGAAGGGAGAGAAAAAAAAATTGTAGGCCAGTTGGCCTAACATCAGTAGTGAGGAAAATGCTTGTATCTTTTATAAAAGGCCTGACAACGAAACAGTTAGAAAGCATTAACAGGATTGTGAAAAGACTGTGTCTTTTTATTTTTGTGCTTTTTAAAAACTGTGTACTGAAGTAAGAAAGAACTACTTTAAAACCAGCATTTTGCAAGGATTGCTGCATGTTTTGAAAAGCAAACAACCTGACAATCATGGCAAGCATTGTGTAAATAGCTGGTTGAACAAGAAGTAACTGAAGTTCAGATTGTAGACAAACTGAAACCAAGGATGTTGTGTGCAGTTTCAGTTTTGGTTGGCAACAAGTAGTTGATTGGTCTACGGACTAGTGGCCAGTTATCAATGTCAAAGGCCTTTTGCTTGCCAACAACTGAGAGATTGGTTTTCATGTAAATGAACGGCCAGGGTCTGGGGACAGATAGAAGTGATCAGATCTCCACTAGCTTTCTATTCATTTTTTCCCCCTACCCTCATGTGTCTGTGTGTATGTGTAAGGGAGAGTTTATAAGGGGATTAGATCTTTAATTAGTAGTGTGTTATGCTAATGATTTGTAACACTAAGTGCAGCTACAGTTTAAATACTTGTATAATAAGAAGTAGTAATTCTTGTTAAGTACAGAAACGTGGACTGTGCTTTCTATCAGCCTGTGTCTGAAAATTGGGTTAAGTGGGGAATCTTCATCTGTTCATTATGAAGTCTTCAACTTCTGCGATGAGTCTAGATATATTGGGGCTTGATTTCCAACATGCTACCCTATTGAGTCATAACAATTTGACAAAGCCAACATGGGTATATGAATGGCAAATCATGAAGATGTAAATGGTATTAAAGTTAATGGAAAGCAAGTGGATGTGGTGTATTTAGATTTTGATAAAGGTTCCATATAAGAAATTAGTGGACAAAATTAAAGTGCAAAATATTGGTATAAACGGAGAGCTGATTGATAGACAGGAAAGAGAGCATTGAAAAAAAAATTCCCTAGGTGGCAGGCAGTCACTAGTGCAATACTGCAAGGATCGGTGCTTGGGTCACAGATAGTCATGATATATGTGTAGGTGCATATAAATACATGACCTGGATGAGGGAATCAAGTGCAATATTTCAAAGTTTGCTGACAACACAAAACCGGGTGGGATTGTGTGTTGTGAGGAGGATACAAGGAGACTTCAAGGTGGTTAAGACAAGTTGATGAGTGGACAAACATATAACAAATTCAATACAATGTGGTTGGATATAAAGTGATATATTTTGGAATGAAAAACAGAAACGCAGAGTTTTATTTAAATGTTGGATGTGCAAAGGAATGAAAGTAGGCAAGTGTAGCAATTAGGAAGGCAAATGGTTTGTTGGCCTTCACTGCAAAAGGATTTAAGTTCAGAAGTCGGGATGTCTTACTGCAGTCATACAGGGCCTTTGTGACACCATACCTAGAGTACTGCATTCAGTTTTGGTCTCCCTGCCTAAGAAGGATATAGTTGGTAGGGCTTTGGAACTTACTTGTGAGTTAAAACATGATAGCGGAGATTTATATGACCTCAAATTTACAAAGGAAAGAATGTGGGAGAGCAGCTAGAAATGCACTGAAGTAGTTCAGTATAACAGCGATGAAGGAAGAGGTTTTGGTAGTAGATGACCTAAGGTAGAGTCAAAAAGTAGGGAAAGAGGAGCTTTGGCCCAAATCGTTCATGTTGTAATCGTATGTGCCACCACCACTTCCTCCAACAGCGCATCGCGTCACACATATGCACCACCATCTTAACATTTTAAAATAGTTCCCAAGCTTTTTGTGACTTAGTAAATCTGAGTAATGTCTCATGTAATGCAATCTGTTAGAACAAAGTATTTGTGAATAATGTATTTTTGTAAGTGTTTATAACTGCCATTTTTCATTTAACTGTCCTATCAGTAACAAGAAATGCAAATATTTTAGTCTGATGTAGGGCAGTCAGGAAACAGAAATGATGAAGAATGTCACATAAAATAAAGGATTCTGTTTAATATTGCATTAAAATCTCCATGTGCATCACTGAAAATTTTAAATTCCACAGTTTCATAGCACAATAAAAATAGTTACACAATTCAGGATACATTTAACACCACTTTTGGGCTTTAGTGATGAAATATATTGAACTTACTACAAGGCATAACAAGAAAGATTATCATACAATTAGTGTCAACAGGTCACAATTTCATTTTAGTTAATAGCATTTCACAGAGATTTGTTGGCTCAAAAATAACAAAGAGGAGTGTGGAGCAGATCACTGGTTAACTTAAACTGGCTGGCCTGTGAGAGGAGGCAAGAATCCAAAAAAATTGAGGTGGGGAGGGAGCTGAAGTTGGAGTTAAAGGAATCTGAAAAGTCAACTCAAGATTACTGACCATAATTTTGTGTAAACATTATATGAATAGTAAATCGGAGAAAGAACTCATTGCTGTTCTTACCATAATTCCTTAAAAATTGACATTATTGAGAAGTGTATGCGACAAGGCTCATTTCTAAATAGTACAGTATTAAGACCCAGTTATGTAAATCACATAGGCAACACTTTGTCCTTACAATACCCTGGTGCCATCTACTACACATTTGTTGAATAACTGTATGCAATATTGCAGCTGAAATAAATGGAAAACAGCTCCACAGCACGTACCTTGTATGTGCTTATGCTCCATTTTTTCACCTGTTCAAGTTTTTCAAGAGCAATATTCTTAGATATATCATCTGTAATGACAACAGGACCACTCTGAGTGTTCTTCAGGCTTCCTGCTTTAAATAAAAGAACATACATAGTTAATATTTAAGTTATATTTCACACAAAAAGCATAAGAAAGAACACACGCAAATAAAATGCAAACAACAGAATCAAAGATTGGAAGGAATTAAGATGACAAAGAAAAAGCAGACCCAGGAAACCTGCAGATAGAACAACTTTTCCAATCCACCCTCTGTGTAGATGTCAGCTTAAATGTCCTGTTCAGAAACTTATGTAAGGATATATATACCTCAGTATGCAAAGTGGTGTTTGACTTGTAATGAACAGCCTGCAATACTAGAAGCTAGCCCAGCACCCAATCGTTAACAGGTACATTTTAAAACTTACAGCGTTTCATCTAGTGGAAGGGATGTAGACACAACTGAATAAATGTCAAGGTCATCATCATTCTTTATTCGGGAGTATTCGCAGAATACTTACTCCAGGGCAAATCCCAAGTCATCACCATGGACATACTTACATGGTTCATAAACAGATTTATAACATGTTTATTTTTAACCAGGTATTTTACCCACATATATCAACCTATAACAATGCCTGTTCTGAGGATGTTATAAAATGTCATATTCTGAAATAACAGAAAATTACTATTGTTAATTTAAATTTATTCAATGGCTCATCCAAGTGCTGAGCCAAACAGCTCAAGATATCACCAGGTTCAATCTTTATTCTGTACTTATTGAAAGCCAGGGAATCGGTGAGAGGTTCCAAACTGGCATTTAGTCTCAAAACTATAGTTTTTAAAATGAAAAATATGGCCCTTAACAAGAAGGAAAACTCAGCAAGTCTGCTAGAAATGTCTATGAGTAGATATCTTTTGAGGATAACATCAGGTTTGGCTTGTGATTCCACTATAGCCCTTCAGCCTGCTGGGGGCTCTGTTAAATTTAATTGCATATGACAGGCACAATATCTGAGACATACCAGCACCAAGGAACGGGAAAGCAGAGGAACAAACTAGGGATAGAACAGGTACTATAGTGAAACTATCTTTTAATATTCTAGTCTGGTACACAATAGAAATAAGGCAATGACAATAGAAATATGGACAAAGTCAACAAATTATATAAAGGCATACTTAACTATATCTGTACTACAGCATGATAATATGTCTCAGTCATAACTCACTCCATGATTTTAATGTGAGCTTGACATTACTGACCAAACAGGTGAAACGGAATATTGCAAAGGCAAGAACTAATATTTGTTTAAGCAGCTTTGTGGGGGCTTGAAACACAAACGGTGTGGGAATTAAAATAGAACACATTGTATAGAACCTTTGCCTCTGACATATTTTTAGAAATAATAAAATGAAGAATCATTTTCACTATGGCTTAGTACATTTGCTTCCTTGATCATGGAGAAGTGACATCAAGTGACATTATCCTTCTGTAAATGCGCATACTGTAGCAGATGGCATCAAGCTACAAGCTACGTTAATTGCATGTGTTAGTTATGTTCATGCAAGTTTAAATATGTCTGATAACACTTTCCCTAATGTAAGTTAAACTAGTTTCATTATAACCTCTCTAAGGGTTTTGTTGGGTTGCCCACCTTTGCACTTCCCAGCCCATTATCTGTCCATTCATTTTAATGGCTGGAAAACAGTGAGTTGAGAAGCAAGATGAAAATCATAGCCTATATCTCCTGTTCTATACCACGGTACTCACCAATTGCAACCAGAAGGGCAAGTGATCTGCTATGCTAAACCAGCCAGTAGGGAATGCATAACAGCAGCATGCCAACAGTGCTGCCCATTTTCTCTCCATTGCTATTGGAAAGTGTTGCATCTCCAATCCAGCACCTCTTGTAGTCATTAAGCAGAGCGTGAGATCAATGGTGTAGAGTAAACAAAAACCATGATCCACAGTCCATGCCTCAGTACTCCCATTATTTTACGAACTACACTTAAAGCTAAGATATTTCAGTCCTTTCTTTAAAGAAGGATAAGGCGGCCCTCTTAGAACAGATCTCAGCAGAGTATTCTGTGAACACTAATAGTCTTGTGCTTACCGGGGCTTCCATTCAAGGCATGAAGGATAACCTAGATGGTGTTGCTCACTAATGTTCAGACTTGTAAGTAGGTGTGGTGTGACATAAAAATATGCCATTCCATCTTGGTAAGTGGAGGAGAAAGATGAAATCAACCAGCTAAGCTATGAGTTATATTTGCCCTTAGGCAGAAGCTTCTATCGACTGCCATGCGTTCCCGGCCACGAGTTTCCAGTGACAAATGGAAAATAAATATATAGGTCCATACTGAGAGATGTGAAAAACAAAAGAGCAAGACGATACTAATTTCCCTTCTCATAAAGACAGGGGAAAGGGAAATGAAAACATACATTTTAAATAATACTAAAGCTTTTATAAATTGGTGGACATGGGAGTAAACTAAGGGCTCGTTAGGCCAATAAAATGGTACCAAAATCCCAAATCTTCTCAACAGTTTCATTGCAATATATATGTGTGTGTACATATACATATATATAAAAAATATTGCATCCTCAAAGCAAACCTAAGAAAGCATGGAAATGCAAAGCAAGTTAGAAACAAAAGGACATGACTCAATAATGACTGCAGGAAGTTAAGGAGGAGATCTCCTAAGAGATATGACCAAATTTGAAAACAAAAATAAAAATGACATAGAATTTCTGACAGACAGAAGGGAATTAAAGACCCATTTAGATCATGAAGAAATTTCCCAGAGAGGGATAGAACTGAAATCACCCAGAAACAAATCAGGTTGAAAGTTCAATTCAAATGAGAGATTAATATTTGGAATTAACAGTGAACTTTGTATTTTACACTTGAAATAATGATGTTCAGATGAAATAATTCTTTTCTAAAGCCATGGACTCCTGACTGGAGCTTGCTTCTTAGAGAGCTTGTTACCCTCCAGCATTTTGTCACGGTAGTTATTAGTCAAGACAGCAACTGTTGTTGGATGAGTTGGCTACCAACACAAGTGACACTGAAGCCAAATCCAGCTGAGCTAAAACAGGAATCACATGTCCACATTCAAACAGGATTTTGCATAGTTATTAAGACTAGAAATTCCAACTGATTTTCCTATCAACATCCAAGGATGTTGAAGCATTATGCAACCTGTGGTTGAAATCAGTTGATGCCACTCAATTTTGAGACTGAATCTAATAATTTCCTGCTTGGTTGTTCACTGGATAAAAATCAGTGAGACATTTCATAGCTCATTTATATACACATTAAAAAGCATTTCACAGTCAGGTAGGATTTATCATTACGGAGCAAAACTGTAATTGTTAGTTATGTGTCAGTGATCAAAGTACACATCTCCATTGTTGTTACTCAGTCCCAGCAGCCAGTTTCAATTTACGGTTTCAGCTTGCATTTCGTGTGACCTATGAAATAACATTAAAATGCTCCCCATGAGAAAACCAGATGACTATTAAGCATTAGTTCAGCAAAAGCACCTTATATGTTAGCTGCTGACAAACTTGAAGAATCCATGATTGTTAAGATGAAAGCCTGAATAAAGAATAGAAAAAAGCAAAATCACTGTAGTGTGGAATCATTTGTCCATTAATGGCAAGACTCAAAAGACACCTGCAAGCATCATGCAGATCTTAAGAGAGCAATCCAACGACTTAGAAAGGAAGTGCTATGGTGCGTTAGTGTATTGCCGGCTGAGGAAAGAATCCTTTCTCCAGACAGAACAGTGAATACCTGCATGACTAGAAACATCAGATGCATGTTCAGCCAATCTGGTAGCAGCTGTATTGCTGGGGAACATAACTGGACTCTTTGGAGAGAAAGAGGAACCTAAAAATTGGAAAGATTAAGTAAGAAAAATCAAAGTTACCAAAGAATGGAACATTTCAAACTCAATGTGACTTTTTTCAGGGAAAGCTGCAAAAAATACAATAATCAACACCACCAATAACATTTTTAAATACCATCCAACAATTTGAACTACCATCTTGGTTAAAAGTGGGAAGAATAAACATGCATCTATAACATACATACAATAAGAAATTCAATGGCAAATAGCAACTAATCTTACATTTATATCTAATAATCTATTTGATAGCGACGTCAGAACAGTACTTCCAGTAAATCTGCACATCACAATACTGCCAAGTATTCTTTGCTAGTCCTAAACATTTATAGACTATATATAGATTACAATGAAAACGTCTTATCCAAAACATTACTTTATAATATCATTGCCTGGACTATATATATATATATATATATATATATCAAACTTTTATGGAAAGAGCATTTTGCAAAACAGAAGACACTGGCTGCATCAGCAATAAAGTTGCAAGGAAAAGTGCTTTGATGGAGATGCCAAGTCTAGAAATTTTTCAGAGAGGTCACATAATTCAGTTTAAGCATGAGAAAAATATATTGGATTTGGACCCAGAGAGTCAAGGAAATAATTTATCGGCAACAATTGCCTTTGTTCTTTCACTCTGCTTTTCTCTTCTCTGAAACTCTTTTCAAAATTGGGAGGTGAAAACAACTGGAATACCACATTAGCACAAGTGGAGGGCTCCTAAATGAAGAAGGCTTCATTGGCTGTAACTGGACAGTTATTGAAGGAGAGTCTGTGATCTATCACCACGGTCTCCAGATAAAAATATTAGCTAGCCATACTGATCTAAGAAGAAATCTCAATGCTACCAGCTTGCGTGGAAGTGACTGACTGCAGACTAGAATTTGGGGCATTCTGTGAATATTATTCTTTTATGAATTTAACTCTTACTTGGCCAAAATATCTTTAACATAACACAGTGCAGCATTTGTGTTTTTTGTCCTCTGCCCAGACTTGGAGGTTCTGAGCATGCTAGTTTGCATGAAGGAATTCACAGATGTTAAATTTAAATTTAAGATAGTCAAAATTTTATTAAGCAAAGGTATCAAGGGATATGGGCCCAAACCAGGCATATGGAGTTAGGCCACAGATCAGCCATGATCACACTGAATGCTGGAGCAGACTCATCGGAATGAATGGCCTACTCCTGTTCCTATATCCCTATGTATAGATTTGGACAGTTTAAATTTTTTGTCAATAACCTTTTCATTCTTGTCTGTTGAGTCAGAGTCAAACACCACAGAAGCGCTTTGGTCCATTGAGTGTTCATTGACCTATCCACATTAATCCCACTTTCCAGCACTTAGCCCACAACGTTGAATGCTCATCCATGTACTTTTTAAAGATTGAGAGGTGTTCTGCCTGTACCACCCTCCCAGGCCGTGCATTCCAAATTTCCACCACCCTCTGGGTGAGAAGAAATTTCCTTAAAGCCCCTCTCAACCACTTGCCCTTCACCTTAAAATTATGTTCCCTTGTTATTGACCCTTTAACTAAGGGGAACAGCTGCTTTCTATCTACTCTGTCCAAGTCACTCCTAAGCTTAAACACCTCAATCACATCCTCCCCTAGCCTTCTTTGCTTTAAAGAAAACAACCTGATCCAATCCAGCTTCTCTTCCTACTTAAAATACTCCAATCCAGCAACACCCCGATGAATCTCCTCTGCACCCACCCCAGCCTAATCACATCCTTCCTAAAGTGTGGCAACCAGAACTACACACAGTAATCCAATTGTGGCCGAACCAAAGTTTTGTACAGCTCGAACATGACCTCCTTGCTCTTATTATGTATGCCATGATAAAGAGAAGTGTCCTGTCTGCTTTCTTAACCACGTATTAATCTGTTGCCTTCAGGGATTGTGGACAACCATCCCAAGATCCCTCTGAGCATCCGAATGTCCTGCCATTCATTAAGTATTTCCTTATCTAATTAGTTCTTCCAAAGTGCATCACCTAACACTCTTCAGGGTTAAATTCCTCCTGTCACAGATCTGTCTTTCTGCCCAACCTGTCCATATCTTCCTGTAACTCAAGCCCTTTTCCTCACTATTAACCACCCAACCAATCTATGTATCATCTATAAAGTACTTATTATAGATCATAAACAATAATGGACCCAGCACTGCTCTCTGCGGTACACCACTGGACAACAGCCTTCTATCGCCACCTCTCTGTCTCTTTTCCACTAAGCTAATTTTGGATGCATTTTGTCAAGTTAACCTGGATCCCAAGTGCTTTTACCTTCTTCATCAGTCTACCCAGTGGGACCTTATCAAAGGCTCTGAAATCCATTTAAACTTCTTGAACTATACACTTGATCATCACCTTGAAAACTTCAATTAAATTTTTCAGGCATAACCTCCAACTGAAAAAGCCATGCTGACTATCCCTGATCAAACCTTAGAACTCCAAGTAGAGATTAATTCTTTCCTTCAGAACTCTTTCCAACAGTTTCCCTCTCAGTGATGAGACACTCACTGGAATTATAATTCTCCAGTTTATCCTGTCCACCCTTTTCTTTAAAAGTGGAACCACATTAGCTGTGCTCCAGCCCTCTTGCCCTTTGGCCAGACAGGAATTAAAGATTTGAGACAAAATGTCTGCAATTTCCAACCCTGCCTCCCACAGCAACCTGGGATACAAATTTTAGCTGAATAGGTTTTGCTTGCAATAAATTAGCTACTTATCTGTTGCTTAAGAGGCTTGACTGACTTGTTTCTGATACCAATCTATAAGAGTTTAACATCTAAATAAAACTGACCATATAACCTCACTTTTTAAATTCAAACTTTGTTGTGATCAGAAGAGGAATAGGAGAAGCAAAGGATTCAGTTCTGCACTCCATCTGGTACTTAAAATCATCAATTCCTTATGCAATGTCACTAAATGTCTTAATACAATGTAAGGCATTCACATTTAGACAGAACACAATTATCACTTGAAGGTCAAATACAATTTTAAAATATCTACCTAAGAAATTATGCTGACAAATAGTTAATTTTCCATACTGATTTAGGTGCATTCATACGTATTACATGAAGGGTAAGCCAGAAACCACAAAGACCTGTACAATGTACCTTTAGTAATTTTTCAATGCTGTAATTAGTGACTACACCTATGAGATGGTTTCTGAGAAATACGATAGCTACAATTTTTGTGCCAATAGTTACTATTTTGGTAGAAATTCTGGGATTTAAGTCCAACATATCCAATTTCACATTAGTAGGATAAGTAACGCCTTAAAACACACAGTATTACAGCAATCACCATTACCAACTTTAAGAAATTAAACAAAGTATCAAAACTAGAGAAAACTAAACAAAGAAACTTGGATCCATGGCATGGGACTCCATTAAATAAGAACTAGGATTTTTATAGCATCGTCTATGACTTTGGGTCAACGCAAAGTGCTTTACAGCCAATTAAGTACTTTTGGAGTGCTGTAATGTTGTAAACGTGGCAGCCAGTTTCTGCACTGCATAAATGTAACGCCATTTTAAAAAATGATTTATTTTTGCCATTTTTGATTGAGGGACAAATATTGGCTATAAGGGATAACACTTCTTCAAAATAATGCTATGGTTTCTTTCAAATCCATCTTAGAAAGCAGACTGGGCCGAGGCGTAATGCTTCATCCAAAAGCTAGCACTTCTAGTAGTACTCCTTCAGTGCTGTCCTAGGCTGTCAGTTTCAATTTTGAGTTCAGGTTACATAAATGCATGCATATGAACTAGGAGCAGGAGTAGCGTATTCACCCCATCAGCTTGCTCTGCCAATTGATATGATCATGGCTAGTCTGAAATTTGTTCAAATTTTCCTGCTTATGCCTTGATTGACAACGGGGTCAAAGAATAAAGTATCTAACTCAGCCTTATAAATATTTAAAGACGCGCCTCAGTACTTGAGGGAGGAGAATTCCACAAATTAATAAACGTCAGAGAAAAAAACTGTAATCATCTCTGTATTGAATGGGAGAGTCCTTATTTTTAAACCGTTTCTCCTAGTTCTAATCTCTCTCACAAGAGGAAACATCCTTTCAACAACCATCATGTCAAGTCCTCTCAGGATCTTTACTGGAAACAAAATGTGTTGGAAAACACAGCAGGTCAGGCAGCATGAAGAGAGAGCAAGCTAATATTTTGCATCTAGTTGACTCTTCATTAGAGTTCAGGATATTATTTTGATCTTATGTTTCAGTAAAATAACCTGTCAGTCTTCTCAACTCCAAAAGATACAGGTCCAGCTTGCTTAACCTTTCTTCATAAGATTACCTCCATGTCCCAGGAGTCAATTGAATGAACCTTCTTAGAACTGCCTCTATTGCATTTATGTCCTTCCTTAAGTTAGGAAGCCAAAACTTCACAGCACCCTAGATCTAGTCTCAACAAAACCCTGTACAACTGTAGCAAAATTTCTCCATTTTAATATACATTCTCCTTGCAATAATTGGCAACTTTCAATCTGCCTTCCTAATAACCTGATGTATCGACAGGCTAACATTTTGAGATTCATGTACCAATCACCCAAACCCCTCTGTTCTACAAAGTTCTGTGATCCTTCTTCATTTAAATATACTGATTTTCTATTCTACATTTAAGTGGAAAAGCTCAGATGTTCCCACACTATACTTCATTTTTGAAATTTTTGCCCACTCATTTTAACTATCTATGTTCTTTTACGGACTCCTATGTCCTCTTCACAACTTACTCTACATTTTTGTCATCAGAAAATTTAGCAATCATACGTTCAACGCCTTCATCCAAGTCATTGATATAGTTTGTAGATAATTGAGGGCCCAACACCGGTCCCTGCCAACCCAAAAATACCCTACTTATGCTCACCTTTGCATCCCATTAGCTAACTACATCTTTATCCCTGCTATTAGGTTACCCTCTACACCATAAGCTCTTATTTTGCAATGATTTTTGATATAGCACCTTA